AATACAACTGTTTGAACCTCGACTACCCAGAACTGGTGTCACAGTGTCACAGATGATCTAAGAATACTACAAATAAAAGGCCTGAAAGAAATAATTACAACACTGTCTCTAGAAATACATGAAAGAAACAGGAATAGTAGATAGAAGGAGACGCAAGAACTACGGACGCTTGCAGGACTACCTCAGGTCGCCTGACGATCAAGAATCAGTAATCTCACTGCGGTCCGAAGTCCACAACGCTAGGGTCTGCACAACAGAGTGCAGAGTGTAGTATCAGCACAACCGACCCCATGTGCTGGTAAGTGCCTAGCCTAACCTTGGCGAAGTAGTGACGAGGCTAGGACCAGACTACCACATAAACCTGTGCAGTTCAAATATATATACAGCGGAAAAGAAATACAGAAGTAAACAGTAAAGATGGGAGGGGGAAATATGCTTCGGGGGAAAACAGGTAAAAATAGAATATCAATAGAATATCAAGGAATCAAAATCCGACCACTAATAAGAATAAAGAAAAACCAAGGCAGATTTCACTTTCTTTTCACATCTTGTTGCAGGCGTGCAACCCGATCTCATTTCTCATATCTTGTGGCAGGCGTGCCACCCGCTCCCATTTCATGTATCTCGTGGCAGGCGTGCCACCCGCTCCCATTTCATTATATCTTGTGGTAGGCGTACCACCCGCTCCCATTTCATTATATCTTGTGGTAGGCGTACCACCCGCTCCCATTTCATTATATCTTGTGGTAGGCGTACCACCCGCTCCTATTTTATTATATTTTGTGGTAGGCGTATCACCCGCCCCCATTTTATTATATCTTGTGGTAGGCGTACCACCCTCTCCCATTTCATTATATCTTGTGGTAGGCGTACCACCCGCTCCCATTTACAACCAACAATAATCACAAGGAATCCCGGCAAGGGAACAAGAACAACATAATAACTTTCCGGCAAGGGAACATTAATAATTCAACAACATCCCGGCAAGGGAACAATGATATCTCAACAATATCCCGACAAGGGAACAATAATATCAAACAAACATCCCGGCGAGGGAACAATGATGATAATAACATGTGAGGCATAATAAACCACAACAGAGTCATAACAAATTATAACACAAGACTCACGGGCATGCTTGAAACCAACGTATAGGTACTCGTCACCATGCCTATACGTCGTACTCCACAATTAACACGTAGCAAATAGACACAACTCCTAATCCCTCAAGCTAAGGTTAGACCAAACACTTACCTCGATGCCACGAACACAATTCACGATTCAACTATAGCTTTACCCCTTGATTCCACCACCAATTCGCTCGTATCTAGTCACAAGTTACTTAATTACATCAATAAACGCTAAATGAATCAACCCCAATGCATGAAAATGAGTTTTTCAAAGTTTTACCCAAAAAGTCAAAAATCGCCCCCGGGCCCACATGGTCAAAACCCGAGGTTCGAACCAAAATCCGATCACCGATTCCCCCACGAACTCAAATATAGAATTTATTTTGAAATCGGACCTCAAATCGAGGTCTAAATCCCCAATTTTTGAAAAACCTAGGTTCTACCCAAAACACCCAATTTCCCCCATGAAAATCATTGTTTTGAAGTTGAAATCATGTTAAAAGATGTAAAGAATTGAAGAAAGTTAGTTAAAAACGACTTACAATTGATTTGGAGAAGAAGAAATCTTTGAAAAATCGCCTAAGTGTGTTTATGGTTTGAGAAAACATGAAAAATGGGTTTAAAATCGTCTAAGTATAAAAGTTGCAGGTCTCAGATGTGGGAATTGCGAACAGGGGTTCGCAATTGCGAACCCTTCAGAAAACCCGGACCATCGCATTTGCGAACAAAATGTCGCATTTGCGACACATAGGTCGCATTTGCGGCCTCAGACATTAAAAGAGGACTTCGCATTTGCGAAGGGACCCTCGAATTTGCGAGGTCGAAATTGCGATCACACCATCGCATTTGCGATAACAGGCCAAATTGGGGTGTTTCGCATTTGCGAGGAAAGGGCAGGCCTAGGCTGTTTCGCATTTGCGAGTCAGCCTTCGCATTTGCGAACTCGCATTTGCGAGCCAGGCTTCGCAAATGCGAAGCCTGCAGGCCTGTTCATACCAGCTAAAATCCTGCAATTTTTCTAAGTTCAAAATGCACCCCGTGGCCTATCCAAAACTCACCCGAGCCCTCGGGGCTCCAAACCAAATATATAAACAACCTCAAAAACATCCTACGGACTTATCCGTGCACTCAAATCACCAAAATAACATCATGAACATCGAATTAAACCTCAAGATCAATGAAATTTCCCAAAACTTCTTTAAACATCAAATTTGCATTTAAGGTCCGAATCACGTCAAACGGATTCCGTTTCTTACCAAACTTCACAGAATTATCTTAAATCATATATAAGACCTGTACCGGGGGCCGGAACTAAAATACGGGCCCGATACCAACATGTTCTAATCAAAATTCATTTCCAAACCTTATAAACAATTTCAGAAAATAATTTTCTTTAAAAATTCATTTCTCGGGCTTGGGACCTCGGAATTCGATTCCAGGCATACGCTCAAGTCCCATATATTCCTACGGACCCTCCGGGACCATCAAATCACGGGTCCAGGTCCGTTTACCCAAAATGTTGACCGAAGTCAAATTAATTTATTTTATAGTTTTTTCACAGAATTTCACATATAGGCTTTCCGGTTACGCGCCCGGACTGCACACGCAAATCGAGGTGATGTTCAAAGAGGTTTTTAAGGCCTCGAAACGCAGAATTCAATTTAAAAACAAGTGATGACCTTTTGGGTCATCATAAGAAGAATTGTAGAAGATTTAGTCATTTTTGATTTGTAAAATCAGAAAAAATGATGAAACATGAAGCGGGATCGTCCCATTTTTGTTTTCTAAGAAGTTAACTTGTCAAAGAGAATTAAGCTATTGAAAAAAAAATTAGAACTCAGCTAATATGTGAACTGAGATAACGAGAGAAACTTAGCACCTTAGTGATTCATGTGTCATTGAACACGTTTTTGGAAATTTGCAATGATTAGTTTATGCAAAAATAACTCTGAAACTTTTCAAATTAGACCACGAAAATCGAAATCTCGACAGCATTTGTGGTTTTGCGACTCTAGGTTTCTTGATAATTGATTTTGCTTGAAGCTTTCAAACTCCATGAAGGAAGAAAAATAAGGAAGCCTACAACTAGAATGATTCCTTATTTAATGAATTGTCTATATTTTGTAAAAATATTATTTGCATGACGGGTAATATGCAAACTATGAACATATTTGGTAATATAGTTTCCTATATGGTATAGGAACGAAAATTTTCCAATTTAGAGCTATTAAATTGGCTGGCCCAATCCAACATATCTCAGCCCATATGGGCTAGAGCCCATCATTTGAAGTGCCTTCAATCAGTGTGAAATTAAAAAATAGCCAGATTTACAAATGGTGATTGAAAAATAGCCACGGTTTCAAAAGTAACCTAAATTTAGCCACTTTTCATGTAAAGATAAATCTGAACGAAAACATTGTTCAAAATCCAGAAAATACTCCAGCATAATATACTGGAGTTCCAGTATAATATACTGAAATATAATATACTGGACTTCCAGCATACTATACTGGAGATCCAATATAATAAACTGGACTTCCAGCATAATGTACTGGAGTTCCAGTTTAATATACTTGACCAGCATAATATGCTGGAAGATCATACACAGCTGCTCCAATCTCCATTATATTCTGCTGGAACTATCCGTGCATTGGAATGTCAGCATAATGTGCTGAAAGTTCATATACATGTGCACCAATCTCCAGTATATTATGCTGGAACTATCCGAGTATTGGAGTTTCAGCATAATATGCTGGAAGTTCATACACATGTGCACCAATCTCCAACATATTATGCTGGAACTTTCCGTGTTGCAGCAAAATAGTGGCTATTTTTCAATGACTTTGCAAATGATGGCTATGTTTCAATTATCAGTCCGAAAATTAGCTAGCCCGTGCTATTTTTACCTTCAAAAGCTATCTTACGAAGAGCATGGGCTAGCCCGCGGTGTCTCTCCTAAATTATATTCTATCCGTCCCAGGTAAAATAATTTTAGCATGTTTGATTGAATAAGAAATTCAAGATTTTTTTTTTGAAATTTATGGTATAAAACAAGCAATATATGTTTACAATTTTATTAAGAGTAAAATACGAAGTTTAAAGTTAAATTATTTCCAAATAAAGAAAGATGTCATTCTTTTTGATATAGACTAAAAAGAAATAAAGTTTTATATATTTTATCTTTTGATACAATTTTAATTTTTTGGGTATTAGTTTTTCCTTGAACGTTTAATTACGATTAAGTAATTTATAATTGAAAAAACCAGGAAAAGCTAGAAAGAGTAGTAGAAGCTGGAAAATAAATCAGGTCAGAAGGTCAATCATTCTCCATTTACAGCGTGAACTTTGTTTCTATAACAATTTCTGTTAAATAGTTTCAATTTAGATCATTCTAAGAGCCTGTTTGGACATAAGAATTTTTTTTTACTTTTTTTCGAAATTTTTTTATTTTTTTTTCCAAATCAGTGTTTGGTCATAAAATTTTCAATTTTCACTTGAAGACGAATTTTAGAATCTTTCGAAAATTTGAAAAACTCAAAAAAACTGTTTTTCGAAATTTTCACTCAGATCACTCACAAAACTTCAAAAACAATCCAAAATTATATTCATGTCCAAACACAACTTTAAATTTCAAATACTATTTTCACTTGAAAAAAAAATCACCTTTTTTTGAAATTTTACAATTTTTATGTCGAAACGCCTACTAAGTCTTTGAAATTGCTCTATACTAAAAAGTTCTTCTAATAAATTCCACAGTGTACGAATCAATATGGTAAATAAATATTTCATTATCAAATTAATTAGTGGAGAAAGTTCTTCACGATTTTGCTTCAACTCATGCATGCATACGTGAGGCATAAAATTCTTTGCTTAAAAATTGGCAAAACCTGAAACAATTTTCTCCATATAGAACTATAATTATAAATAAACTTCTTGAGTTCAATCACTGGTACAATAGAGATACAAATTGGAAAAGGAACAGACACATACAAACGTAAGACAAATGCTAATTATAAATCACTCCACCCCACTCCACATACAACAAAACATGTAGCATCATAGTGCTATTTTATTTAGCACGTACTAATTAAGATACTCCAGATGAAACTCAAGAAACTTCAAATCATGACAACGTAGGAAGCCATGAAAAGAAGGATGCTGACAACAACTTGAACTGGAACCTTCAGTGGACTTCCATCAGAGGTAGTACTGCTTCCTGCTGCCTTTGAGCCTACTCAATAATCAATCAACGAAAAATGATGTTATGAAATGACAAGATATAAAATTTTAGACGCATAATATTTAGTATAATTAATGAATTAAAATTGATCTTTCTCATCTTTGACCTTTAGGTTTAGTTCAAATATTGCTAATAACTCCCCCTATGTGCAAAGTATAGCCAGTCCAAATATATATATGAGAGAATTAAAGTAGATTAATAAACAATGTAAAAGAAGTCTAACTAACTACGATGAATTGAGAATATACAGATGATTCATACAGCTGAGTCTAACTAATTTGGGATTGAGCTATGTAGATTTATTGTTCAAATATTTGATAGTAATTAATTAAGTGTTTCCTACACGATCACGATATAACACACATTACTTCGTGAATACAAGATCTGCACATTGATTACACCAAATCCGATAGTTGTATTTGGTTTTCAGAAAATATCTATAATCACGAACATGTTGTCATGCATGTTTCGGAAATTGTAGAATTTCAAGAAAATTACAATTTATACATTGTGTGAGTGTTCATGAGTTACCTGACACCGCTATACCAGTTGAAGAATCTGGAGTTCCTTCTGTAGGTGCACCCTCTGGAGACATTACCGGTCCATTACCAGCTAAGAAATATTAATAGCAGTATTTAAACATCATATTGGAAAATTATGAACACTTAAAATACAACCATAAAAGAACTTGTAATTGTTTGCTTGTCCTTCTTATGTCTTTATTTTTTTTTTTAATTTGTTTATTTTCATTTTGGTAATACATATGTTCACGAGTTACCTGACACAAATTAAGCACTTATATGATCTATAAGTGTAATAACAACCAGAGAGACATACTTATTATAATATTGCATGTGTTGAGTTTAACGTGTACAAACTGGTAGTGATAAAGAAATTTTACACTTTCCAGCTACCTAAAAGTTTAACTACAGATAACTGCTCGTAGTAAGCTAATTTAGTAACTAGAAAAATATTATATTGCAAATTAAACAATTTACTACAATAGGTTAATTAATTATACTGATAACATAAAAAATATTTATACTGTCATTGTATATAAGTTAAATTCATTTCGAAAACATTTTAACTTCTTGAGATGAAACGATTTCGCGTACGTTCATGTACAACAAAGTATGGTTATATGGAAAACAAACTTTTAAGTTTAGATATTGTAACAGCAATTTAATTAGATGAGTCCTTACCGTTGCATTTACTAACAGGAGGAGTCTCCAGCTTGCATGCAGCAGGCAATGCAAGTGCCTGAGTTTGATTAATTTGGACTCCCAACGAGGAACCACCACCATTGACAATGAGACAAAGGCACCGTGGCTTAGACTGCAGCACCCCAGAGAGGGCGGAGCAGCAGGCGGCTGACGGCGTCTCCGCACTTCCGGTGACAAAGTTAAGGCATGAAGCCATAGTAATAAGTGTACTAGTGCAATCGGATTGTGCCATGACTTCTACTGAAATCATGGTCACAATAAGAACTAAAGCCATGCAAATTACAGTTCCTTTTGAAGCCATTTTTTGGTGTTTTCTGGGAAGATTACAATTTTTGGAGATAATTGTATTACCTTTTTGGCACCCACACACTATTCCTCCTAAGGAAGAATTAGTTGATTCTCCAAAGGAAGAAGCTGGCTTGTGTGTGCCTTAGTTTTGTGATGGATTGTCATAGGCATGCAGTGGGGATTTATAGTGTCTGTTTTAAGTGACTAATTAATTATTTATTTGTCTTACAAGCTTTAAAAAAGTGGATTTAGTTCTGAAAGTGACAAATTACAGGGATTAAATTGGTGAACTAGTAAGAGTTCATGAGGTAAGATTTGGAAATAGTGTAACGCATGTTATCATCAATAACGTGTCAATGAGACTAATTAATCAAGTGGGAACATTAATTTATTCTATTTGTGTTAGAAATAATCGTACGCATGCCGTGAAATTTATACGGCTAGTCGGCTACAATAATGTGTTACCAAGACTTTGGCAAGATAGACACAGCTGATGGCCTAACTCCAAAAATAATATACACGTTTATAGACCTATGTGGTATAATTAAGTCAATGAAATTAATAAAACATATCCAAGGTCATAGAAGATTCGTCATTCATCTAAGTTATGATGTGCTAAAAAGATTAATTTATTCACTGTTCTCATGAAACTATCATGGTAAACTTACTATTTCATACATATTGAATGATCTTCTTTCGAGGGGTGAGCCAAGGTGCAAGTGGAAGCCGCCATGAGCACTTGGTAAATTGTAGTTCGTCCTCCCTTTTTCTTTTGTTTTACTTATTGTCACGATCCAAATTTCCACCTAAGCCGTGACGATGCCTAAAACCGCTTGCTAGGTAATCCAACAATTTAAACAATAACAATAATCTCAATAAAATAACTTAATAACCTCAACAACGGAATAATCATAAAATATCTGAAATATCAACAATAATACAATTACAACCATCCCATGATCTGGTGTTAATAAGCACACGAGCACAATAGAATTTAAATACATAGGCTAATCCTCAGATACAAAATTGTCTGAATGATAGAATAGTGATAACATAAGCAAAGTAGAAGGGGACTCCAAGGTATGCGAACGAAATCATCAGCTACCGCGAAATCTCCAATGATCTGGTATAGGTGCCTCCAGCTAACAATCACACCTCTCTCAGAAGTACATGGATCTACACATAAAGTGCAGAGTGTAGTATGAGTACAACCGACTCTATATACTCAACAAGTAACAAGTCTAACTTCGGGCTGAAAGCAGTGACGGGCTTGGCAATTGCCCAACATCCATCGCCAATAACCAATAAAACTTATAGAATAATAATGGTAAAGAGAAGTAACTCAAAACAATATTAATTTTAACCTTTGCACAATAGCAGAATAATAGGCATGCTTTTCAAGAATAGCTATACAGGCATGGATTCTTTCACATACTTTTCAAAGCATGATATTATCAATCTAACAATGATTTCCAGTCCAAAATACTAAATAAGGACATCTAGTACCATCAAACATAAGGGAAAATCACAACTTGTACCTGCATGACGAGCAAACATGTAAGGATCAAACAATAACGTGATTAATTCATCAAGTATAACATAACTCAACACATGCATAGTGCATGGCACAATTGCCCCTGAACCCTCATACACAACATCATCAACTCAGCACCGTACGGGTGCCTGACATAAGTTCCTCACTCAAGTACATACATATGACCATGTGCCTATGCTCAATGTGAATACCAGACTCTGGAGGAGCGGATCATTGCACAAGTGCTGATCGGATATAAACCAACAATCAATATTTGATAGCCCAACCATGGGGCTTGGTGCACGCTTTTCCCCTAGTTAGTACCACTTAGCAAAAGAGACGTTCCTTTGCTCCTGTCAGCGGGATCAGCCAGTGTCCCCGTGTGTAAGGCCCTTTCCTGAAAGAGGTCGAATTAGCTCAATATGGAGCCTGACGTACGCGTCACCTCAAAATAAATATCAAATCATCTCTATGACCCAAGCTCAGTCATCAACCGCACAAATTTCAATTAACCACATCTCACAGTACTCAGTTCAATAATATTATATATACGAGGCATCCACAACATGTGAGAAATCATAATAGGAATGCACTGAGATAGAGATATCAAACACGGTTATAACATCATAACTGGGAGTATGTCTACAATTAGCTCAAAAAAACAAATTAGCCCTATCTTGTCTCAAACAAATAAGTACTAGCCTAGACATAATTTCTAATATGAATCATAGCTCAAGTAATCATACAAGTAGAGAAAATACGGATATAACGAGACATGAGAACAATCAAGGCATATATCAAGCTAGGGTCTGCCCGATCCATGAATAACCTTGATGCACGCACATATGCCCATCACCTAGCACATACGTCACCCCCAACATATCTCAAATACCATAGCCAATGGAGAAAATTACCTTCAAACCAAGTTTATACATGTTACTTACCTCAAAATGCATGAAATAATACTTCAAAAAGCCCTTCCCACGTGAATCGACCTCCGAGCGACTCGAATATAGTCAAAACGACTTAATATCATCAATAAAAGCCATAGGAAATAACATCAAACGATAAAGCTATGATCTTGAATCAATTATGCAAAGTCAACCCAAAAGTTAATCCCGGGCCCGTACCCCGAAATTCATCAAAACTCACAAATTCTGAACACCTATTCCAATACGAGTCTAGATGTGTGTGCTTCATCCAAATCCAACCTCAAATTGAACCTCAAATCATCAATTTTCACTCTCCAAAATCATAGTAAAAACCCCCTAAATTCCACCTTTAATTCACATAAATTAGGTGTAATAGTCCATGGGTAATAAATATCTAACATAAAAATCAAGAAAAGTACACTTACCCTTTCAATTGTAAAGTCCCCCAAAATAACGAGAAATAATCAAAAACCTCGTATGATATATCTTGCCCAGCGATTCCGCATTTGCGGACCAATAGCCACATCTGCGGCTCTGCTTTATGGTGAAAATGATGCATCTGCGCATTTACCTAAAAAGCCGACCAACCGCATCTGAGGTCCACCTTGGCACCTGCGTGTGTGATTCTGTGGACCAACCATCGCAGAAGCGCATCTGCCTTTGTGGAAAACCTCCGCATTTGCGGCCTTCCCCTTGCCAGGCCCAATCCCGCATTTGCACATCCAAGTTCGCATATGCGGCTTCGCATTTGCGACCATATTTTTTCAGATGCGAAAACACCAGAACCTAGAACATAACAAAAATGCCAACACAATCCAACAAGATCTGAAATCTATCCAAAATACACCCGAGGCCCCGGGGACCCCATATAATCATACCAACAAGTCTTAAAATACAACATGAGCCTACTCGAGGCCTCAAATCACATGAAACAATATCAAAACCACAAATCACACCTCAATTCAAGCCCGAGGGACTAATGAACTTCCAACTTCCCAAAACTCAGGCCGAACCATATCAACTCGGAATGACCTCAAATTTTGTATACAAGTCCTAAATGACATAACAGACCTATTCTAACTCCTGTAACCACAATCCGAATCTGATATCATCAAAGTCAACTCCTGGTCTAATCTATGAACTTTCTAAGCCTTCAACTTTCCAATTTTCGCCAAATAGAACCAAATCAACTTACGAAACTCCAAATCAAAATCCGGATAAATGCCTAAGTCCAAAATCACCATAAAAATCTATTGGAACCATCAAAATACCATTCTGGGGGTCGTCTACACAAAAGTCAAACTCAGATCAACTCTTACAACTTAAGCATCCAACCTTAAGACTAAGTATTCCAATTCAGTACAAAACTTCCCTGAAGCCAAACCAACCACCCCTGTAAGTCACATAACGACAGATACACATATGCAAACCATCAAATAGGGGAAACGGGGCTAAAATACTCAAAACGAGCGGCTGGGTCGTTACATTCTCCCCCTCTTAAAAACGTTCGTCCTTGAACGAGTCTAGAATCATACCTGGGGTCTAAAAAAGGTAAGGATATCTGCTCCGCATCTCTTGCTCGGTCTTACAAGTAGCCTCCTCGACCGGCTGACCTTTCTAATGAACCTTCATCGATGTTATATTTTTTTACCTCAACTTTTGAACCTGCCGGTCCAAGATGGTCACCAGTCCCACATCATAAGTCAAATCATCGTCCAACTGCACCGTGCTAAAGTCTAATACATGTGACGGATCCCCATAATACTTCCGAAGCATGAAAACATGAAACACTGGGTGAAATCCCGATAAACTAGGTGGCGAGACAAGTCTATAGGCCACCTCTCCAAGTCTCTCTAGTACCTCAAAAGGACCAATATACTGTGGTCTCATCTTGTGCTTCTTCTCGAACCTCATCACACCCTTGATGGGTGAAACTCTGAGTAGAACCTTCTCACCCACCATATATGCCACATCACAAGCCTTCCTGTCATCATAAATCTTCTTTCTGGATTGTTCTGTACGAAGGTGCTCCTGAATATACTTCACCTTCTCTAAAGCATCGCGAACCAAATCAGTGCTTAACAACCTAGCCTCCCTAGGCTCCAACCAACCTACTAGAGAACGACATTGCCTCCTATATAAGGCCTCGCACGGAGCCATATGGATACTCAACTGATAGTTCTTGTTATAGGAAAACTCTGCTAACGGAAAAGATTGATCCCACTGACCCCCAAAATCAATGACACATGCTCGTATCATGTCCTCCAAGATCTGAATTGTGCGCTCGAACTGCCCGTCCATCTAGGGATGAAATGTTGTTCTCAGCTCGAGTTGTGTACCTAACTTATGCTGCACTGTTCTCCAAAAATGCAATGTAATTTCGTGCCTCAATCTGAGATAATAGATACGGGCACACCAAAAAGACGAACAATCTCACGAAGATAAATTCGAGCCAGCTACTTTGAAGAGCAGGTATTCATGACTAGAGTGAAGCGTGTAGACTTGGTCAGTCTATCCATAATGACCCACACCACATCAAATCTCCTTGAGGTCCGTAGGAGTACAACTACAAAATCCATGGCGATATGCTCCCACTTCCACTCCGAAATATCTAGACTCTGAACGAAACCACCCGGTCTCTGATGCTCGTGCTTCACCTGCTGACAGTTCAAACACCGAGAAA